TCAAAAGAACAAAATGGAGACCACAAAAATAAATCCCTTTTTTATATAGTCGACTTATTTTTGAGAAAGACACAAAGGCAGTACAATAGAGAAAGGATATATAATATATCCTTTATATATTACACACACAAATGGTGCCAAAACCATTAAATTGTCCAAGTCAAAAAAGAAATAAGAACCTAGACATAAGCTTTACATTTTCAACAGCAACAAAAGATTTCAAAAACAATCAACAGAATTAATTGTAAAATGCAAAACTTAAAATTTCTAGGAAGCAAAAAAAAAAAAGCCAAGAGAACATCTGCATAACCTTGATTTGGTAAAAAGTTTTTATATACAACACTAAAAGTACTATCCATGAAATAAAGTAAGTTGGATTTTATTTAAATTAAAAACTTCTGCTCTGCTAAAACACTTTTAAGAGAATAAAAAGACAAGCCAGAGACTAGTAAAAAATATTTGCAAAACATAATATTTGCTCAATGTTGTCATTAGGAAAATGCAAATTTAAATAAGGAACTATCACTAGACACCTATTAGAATGCCAAAACTAAAAAAACAACAATACCAGTTGCTGGTGAGGTTGGGGAACAATGGAAACTCTCACTTATTATTGGTGGAAATGTAAAATGGTATAGCTACTTTGAAGACAGTTCAGCAGTTTCTTACAAAACTTAACATACTCTACCCCAATTTGGGAACAGTCCACAAAATACCTGATCAACATTCTTCAAAAATTTCAAAAATCACCAAAAACAACAAAAAAGTGAAAAACTGTCAGAGCCAAAAGTTTCCTAAGGAGACCTGAGGACTAAATGTATTGTGGTATCTTGAATGAGATTTTTGAATAGAAAAAGGCATTAGGTAAAAACTAAGAAAAACATAAAGTGAAAAGTGAATAAAATGTAAATAGACTTTAGTTACTAATAATGTATCAATATTGATTTATTAATTTTGACAGATGTCCCATACTAATGTAACTAATACTAGGGGAAGTTGGGTGTGGCTATATAGAACTGTCTGTACTATCCTCACAATTTATTTATAAATATAAAATTGTCCCAAAAGAAAAAGTTTATTTAAAAAAATAAGGTTTCCCTCACTCTTTAACCACATCCTTTGTGATTCTAAAGCTAGATTTAAGGTTTGCTTCAGTGTCACAGTTCTTACACAGGAGCTCTGTTTTTGATTAGGTGATGTCTCTCTTTCCATCAAATTCAAAATTGGAATATTCTATTTATAGGATGTTTGGGCAGGAGCAAAACACAGAAAGATCAACAATACAGAAACCAAGGAAACATCCTTATCAATACCAACACAAGTGGACATGCAAAGGTAGGAATCCATAACTCTCCATTAGACCACCGATTATAAAGCTAGGATTTTTGTATGGGTCTTTTAATCTTAGGTTTTTTTAATGAGAACTTTTAAGAATTTGTAGAGTCTATTATTCAGAAAGTTAGTTATCTTACTTTGAAATACTGTGTTTACATAGGAGTCTCTGCCCTAGATTGTGTGGTTTCCTATCTCTGTAACACTTAAATTCAGCACAGTTCCTGGTGTGTAGTTATATGTTTATAAATACTATTAAATGGAATGTAATAGATCAGATTTGACTTGACCTGTGTTGAAGATTGTGAAGGTGTTATAATGTTTATTTTATTGAAGCAAAGTATATGAAGATTAGCATTTGAGTTTTTGTTTCTTGAATTAATATAAATATACAACTTTTATTTCAAACAACATTTGGGAAAATGGTTCCAATAGTCAACTTTGCTTATGTTTCTTCGTTAGACACTCATTTTTACTTTTATTCAGTGATTTTGGTACCACTTTTATTTTACCTTCCCACTGAATATTATCTGTGTAATTCAATCAGGATATAAATGAAGGTAAATGACAAATATTAGTAGAAATAGTTTGACTAACCAATTGATCAGCTAATATCCATTCATATGATTGTTGTACAAATGGTAGTTTTGGAACAGATGTGTTAACATCAGAAGGATATTTAATTAAGTAAAACATATTGACCTTTCATTTAGAATCAATAAATCTGATTCTTTAAAGATAATTAAATATGTGTTCATGTCAAGGTAATTTAAATAGAGATTGTAGATTTCTTCCCCCACCTTCAGACAATGAGTACCCTCAGAATTTATGTTTCTATGAAACATTTCCAAGTTCATTTTAAATGTCAAAATATTTCAGAAAGAAAAATTAATCATTACAGATTACCCTGAATGTCCAAAGTGGCACCGGACTGCTCTGAGATTGACCAGCATTGCACTGCTTATACTTGTTGCTACAGTGATAGGACTAACTATTTGGGGTAAGTAAATTGAAAGCTATATATTTAACTACAGAGATGAACATATTTCCTTTGGAATTTATCTTTATTTCTCTAAGTTTTTCAGAATGATTTTTCACATTTGACTGATGATTTCTTCCATCGTTATTTTGGTTATGTTGGTAATAAATGACACAACTGATGATTTAATTAATAATTATTAGTTTATCCTTATACAGAGGAGGCAATAAACTAATTTATAAAGTCTATTCTGCTACTAATTTTACTTAATTGGTAAATACTGTAGACTTGGTAGTCATAATTCTATGAACTGAAGTTTTATATTTTGGTAAAATTAATTGCTTTCTATGAAAGCTGACTTGGTCCCTTTAAAAAAACTTTTGATAGTTTATCAGCCTTTTGGCTAAGAGCATGTAAAAAAATTTTGGACTCTATATAAGTGACTTCATATTTTAAAGTTCTGACAAAATGTATCAGCTGCTTGAAAATTTAAGGCCAAGTGAAATTTAAGATCTATTCCTACAAGGGTCATTCCAGAAGCACCCAGCACAGGTGATTAATGAGACTGCACCACAGGGTCCCACAGGACACCTACTACATAAGGTCATCCTACCAAGACTGGAAGTCGTAATAGACCTACCTAACACATAGAAACAAACACAAGAGGCAGCTGAAATGGGAAGACAAAAGAAACATGCCCCAAATGAAAGAGCAGGAGAAGTCTCCAGGAAAAGAGCCATGTGAAATGGAGGCCGGCAAATTGCCAGATATAGAGTTCAAAGGAATGGTTATAAGAATACTTTCAACAATAAAGATAAATTAAAAAAAAAAAAAAAGAATGGAAAAGAAAAAACAAGAATGTTTATAAGGATGCTCAAGGAACTTCGTGAGAACTAAAAGAAACTTGATGAGAACTACAACACGAAAAAGGAATAGAAACCATAAAAAAGAACCAGTCAGAAATGAAGAACACGCTCTCTGAAATGAAGAATACACTAGAAGTAGTAAACAGTAGGTTGGATGAAGCAGAGAATCGAATTAGTGATTTGGAAGACAAGGTAGAAAAAAAGATCCAATCAAAACAGTAAAAAAAAAAAAAAGAGGATTGTTTAAGGGAACTTTGGGACAACATGAAAAATAATAATCCGCATTACAGGGATGTCTGAAGGACAAGACAGAGAGCAAGGGATCGAGAACCTATTTGAAGAAATAATGACTGAAAACTTCCCTAACTTGGTGAAGAAAAATGACACACAAGTCCAGAAAGTCCCATACAACATGTATCCAAAGAGGCCCACCCCAAGACACATCATAATTAAAACGGCAAAGGTTAAAGACAAAGAGAAAATCAGTAAGTCAACAAACAACAAGTGTTGGTGAGGGCGTGGAGGAAAGGGCACCCTCATGCACTGTTGGTGGGAGTGCAGACTGGTGCAGCCACTGTGGAAAGCAGTGTGGAGTTACCTGAAAAAGTTAAAAATGAAACTGCCTTATGACCCAATGATTCCACTTCTGGGAATATATCTAAAGAAGCCCAAAAAACTAATTCAAAAGAATAAATGCACTCCTATGTTCATTGCAGCATTATTTACATTGGCCAAGATTTGGGAGCAGCCTAAATGCCCTTTAGTAGATGAGTGGATAAAAAAATGGTGGTACAATCACACAATGGAATACTACTCAGCTGTAAAAAAGGAAATCTTACCTTTTGGGACAGCATGGATGGACCTGGAGAGCATTATGCTAAGTGAAATAAGCCAGTCAGGGAGGGACAAATACCATATGCTTTTTATTTATGGAATCTAAAGAACAAAATAAACTAACAAACAAAATAGAAACAGACTCATAGACACAGAGAATAGACTGACAGCTGTGAGAGGGGAGGGAGTAGGCAGCCTGCTGATAAAGGTGAACGCATTAAGCAAAAACAAAAACCCTCATAGACAGACTACAGCGTGGTGATTCTCAGAGGGAAAGAGGTGTGGGCAGGTCGGAGAGGGTAAACGGGGGATAAACAGTGATGGAAGGAAACTTGACTTGGGGTGGTGAACACTCAATACAACATACAGATGATGTCTTACAGAATTGTACCCCTATAATCCATATAATTTTAATAACCAACACCATCCTCATAAATTCAGTTAAAAAAAGATATTTTTCTAAAATGTGCTCTACTTCAATAAGAGCTATAGATAATTATATCTGTTATTGTTTCCATTTGTTCTGATTTTCTACATGTTAGGAGCTGGGATACACATTTTATATGCATTATCTTTTAGCCTTACAACAACTCTGTTAAGAATTTCCCTTTTTATATATGAAAGAACTGAGAAACAGAGAGGTTTCATAACTAGTTCAAGATCTCAAGGGATCTAACCTATCATAGTGAACAGATGCCAATTTAAATATGTTCTAGTTTTACTTAGAAAACTTGTTTTATTTTTTTGTTCTTACTTTTTTCAAGTGGAAATCTATCTCTAAGTTATCCATCCTTTGTCAAATTAGAGGGCTGAAATGCTATCAACAGACTTCCTTTCAACCAGCAGTTTGTGCATTTACTTGTAATTTCATTTTAATGGATAATTAAAAGTCACAGTCGTATAACTGTAGAAATCTAATTGGTGTTACTCCTTTCCTTTATTTCTTAGTAAGTCACCCAAACATACATTCCTTCAGAAACCACCACAGCATGGAGATAGTAAGTAGTGAGAACGGAACCAGAGAATGCAATTGTATGAATATTCTTCACAGGAACCAACAGGGCGATACAGATTTCACAAGTAAGTCATTTTCTTTCATTATATTGTTCCCTCTGCCCTCCAAAGTTTAGTACCTGGGGGACTGTGAACTAAACTAACGAAAGAACAATTAGCAGGAGAAACACACTTATTTACGTGCCTACCAGGACTAACAAAAGAAGCAGCAAGCACAAAATTGTTTAAGTTAAAGGCTAGCTGCCTAACTTAGAAGGGAGGAGGGAGGGGCAAGAAATGACTGCGGTGGGAAAAGCACAGTCCTTTAGGAAAGGCAAGTGTTTTTTAGAAGAACAAACCGGAGAAAGAAAGTTTGTGACAGTGCCTGTTTATGCAGGTGAAAATAGTCTTGCTCTCTTCTTCATGGCCATAAAATTCCCCCAGAGAGGGGACTTACCACTGCGGGTTTCCTCTGTCTTTTTCCTGAGAATACATCAGTCCCAAAGGTGAAATTTACGGAAGCCGTAAATTTTCTGCTAGTCAGGTAAGAGGAACTCAGAGGAGCATCTGCTGAATCTGAAATGTCTCCAGCTTAAAAGAATTCTTACACCAAAATGAAATATTTTTGTCCGGCGTGTTCAGATACCCTGCAGTGTTGTGAAGATGATTTTTTACATTTCAGTCTTTTCCTCCAGTCCTACTTCCTCTTAGCCCGTTGGGCCTCACTGCTTACCCCGGCCCGCTGCGACTGGCCTGCCTAGGGCTGCTGAAGCTCCTCCCAGCGCCCGTCTCCAGCAGCCAGCGCACTGCTGCTTCAAGTCTTGCAACCCCCTTGCTGACGAGCCTGCCACTGCTTATCTCTTCCCGTTTTTCACATTTTCAGTTTATTTATTTGACTTCATATACTTATTAGGCATATACAAAAATACTTGTTTTACTGACAACATGACAAGAAATTTGAGAAAACTTGCCTGCTCTCAAGAATCTCATGATCAACGTGTGGGATTGTAAAGATAGAGTCATAGGGCACTGCACATTCAGTTTAAACTGATACAATCTTTTTTTAAAATGTTTTTTATTGATTTTTAGAGAGAGGAAGGGAGAGGGATAGAGAGAGAGAAACATCACCGATCAGATGCCTCCTGCACGCTCCCTACTGGGGATCAAGCCCGCAACCGGGGTACATGCCCTGACCGGGAATCAACCGAAGCCTCTTGGTGCCTAGGTTGACTCTCAATGGTTCCTAGGTCAACGCTCAACCACTGAGCAACACTGGCCGGGCAATAATACTTTAAATACCCCACACTGTAAATAACTATGATTTTCAATAGATTAATTTCTTTTCTTTTTACTGTACTGGCAGAAGCCTGAGCTTCTTTTTTAATCCTTACCCGGGACATACTGAGAGAGAGAGAGAGAGAGAGAGAGACAGAGAGAGAGAGGTGAGAGAAACGTCAATTGGTTGCCTTTCGTACACACCCCAACTGCAACCCAGGCATGTGCCCTGACTGGGAATCGAACTGGCAACATTTCAGTGCACTGAGGACACTCAAACAAACGAGCCACTCTGGCCTGGCCGAGGGCTTCTTTATTGCTGTGGTATGTGACTTTTGGTCAAATAAAAAGAAGAGTGAAGTGAATAATTCCTGCTTTGTTGTAGAAGCTAAATGCTATCATCTCAAAGGGCATATCATAGTAAACGTCTGAATAAGCATGAAAGCTTAAAGTCATTTGTTTCTGTCAGTAATTGATGATACTGAATTTCAGCAGAACTAAAATTTTTCTCTAACTTTGGTCTGAGGTGTGTTGTTGGATACTTTTCCTGGCCAATGCAGAAAAGCTTAGTTTATTAATATACTATTCCAATGACCACTTACTTGTTATTACTTATAAAATAAAATGCCTTGGGAAGAGGGTTGTAAGATAGGGATACTTTGCTGGTTTAAAAGAGAAACTTAATATTGATGTTTTCCTGAAATAATGTGATTCCTCATACTGTCTCTTGAAGAACTCCCGTAGTCTCTAATGGTAATAACTAACTTTTGTATAGAGTATGTTATAGATTTTATTTTCATGTTTATCTCATTGAATATAAGCATATCAGGTAAGTTTTATACAAATCTGTGGATATTTTAAAAATAATATGCAATTTTTAAGATATAAAAATTTAAATATTTAAATAGAATACAGTCAATACTTATGTATCTACTATTCAGCTTAAAATGTTAAAAAAATCATTAGTTCAGTTGAAATCTATGTGTACTCATTTCTGAGTATAGGTTTATTTTAATAACTATTTCAAGTTTTTCCTTTTTACAGAGATAAGTCTAGTGGCTATTGAGGCATATAGATACTGGGGTCATGTTGAACAATTTGTTTTATAAAGTTGCTAATACAATGTGTTATGAAATACATTCTTCTATATTTAAAAAGGACTCTGAAAATAACTTTTTCCCCCCACAATTTTCTTCTGATGCCATTCAGGTTCTCTGTTTTACTTTAAATTTCCCTATGTCCTACCACTTATTAGTTATATGACCTTGAGTAAGTCACTTAACCTTTAGTTTCCCAGTTTATGCTTAACTTTACTTAACCTTAACCTTAGCATCCTTATTTACAAAATGAGGAACATAGAGTTAATAATTTCACAGATTTTGTGAGTTTCTTATAAGAAAAAACCTTTTATATATTCATGTGCATGAAGAATTCAGAAAATTAATTGACATAGTAATTACTCAATAAATAAAAATTATGAATATTTCTTGTACTTATATCTTCTAAAGACTATTAATCAGTAGAGGGGGAGTTTAATTCTTAAAAGTGGGACAAATATTTACTTTTCAGAAAACAGTTTACAAAATTAGTGCAAAAATTGTTTCTTTGATATTCAAACCTTGTTCTCATTCCTATTTCTTCCTATTTTTTTCATTTCAGCAAACCCTAGACAAAAGTTATGCCCTAATGACTGGGTTCAGGAGAAAGGGAAATGCTATAAGTTTTTTAAAACTTTTACATCGTGGATTGATAGCCAAAATTTCTGTTTGGGAATGAAGTCACAACTCTTGATGATCCAAGACAAGGCTGAATTGGTAAGAGCTAATTTACTATGAAAACTAGCCCTATAAAAACTGGAGAAATAGGTACATTTTATAATCCAAGAATTATAGTGCTAATAGTTATTGCCATTCATTGAATTCCTGCCCTATGGCAGAAACTGTGGTAGGCATGTTACAAATGTTATATAACTGCTCATATAAATGTTATATATACAAATGTTATATAACTGCTCACAATAACCTATGACATGGGCAGTATTTTCCCCATTTTCAGAAGAATCTGCAGAACTTGGCAGTTTGTGTAAACTTGTCCATTTCACTCCCTAAGTAAATTGCAAAGCTAGGATATCCATGCCATCTTTGCACACTACCTCTTGGAGAGAAAGGTAGGAGCTCTTTGAGGCACTCATCAAAAGCATCACCAATATTTGGCAATATCCCTAGTATCTCGGGTAGGAAATACAGGGCTCTTTTATTTCAATTGTGTGAAGTTTCGCCAGAGGCACCAATTTTTTACAAGACTGCACGTTAGTAGACAAAGCAATCCGTGTGTAGCTGCCGCTCCTTCAGGCAGACTTCTTCATTCCTAGTTTTTACTTTGTATCCTCTTTGCACCCTTCTTAAGATTTTTCTACTTAGGAAGATAAATATCAAAACCTTTCAAAGCCTGGAAAAGAGTCAGAAGAGTCTGTTTTAATAGGTATAACTCAGTTAATTTCCTCTGGACCTCCTTTCACAGGATTTCATGCAAAATAATATACAAGATGGAATCTACTTTTGGATTGGATTAAACATTACACATCCACAAAAGACATGGACCTGGCTGGATGGCACTCCTTTAAATCCACAGTTGTGAGTCTTTGACATTTAAGTACCTTTGGAGAAATATAAAAGCTCAGCAGCCAATCCCTACTGGGGGCTTCTTGAAACTTAGATAAACAATTGGTTCTTATAAATTGAAGACTTTGAGCTTTGTTAATGTGTGTGTGTAGGAAATTTTTCTTAGAGAAATGAAAGCTCCAAAGCTAATTTATTTTCATATTTGGTCTTTCTTTTAGTTTACCTATAACATTAGAGGCAAAAATAGAAAATTGTAGTCAACATAAAATTCTCTAAGTTTAAATTTTTATGAAATGTTTCTTAACGGTCTACAGAATAATTCTCATTTTTATTAGTGGAAGGATTCTAATAATTAGAAAATACTAAGGAATAAGTTATTAAAATTCAATAATCACATGGCATTGGGGAACCAGTGTTTCCTAATCACATTTTTATTCCACGCAGTATTTCCATTTACAAATGACCATTTTTAGTTAAAAAACTATTTGGAGCAATTTCTTCATTAAATAAGTCTTTGTTTAATGTGCATTCCTTGTTTGAATATTACAGTGTCTTAGATCTCCAGCTTGGAGAATAGTACATTCTTTCTAAGAAGAGAGAATACATAAAATACACACAATTGTGCTTTCAGCAGAGTGAGGACAGCGTTGCTTTTCCTCTACAGATTTCAAGTCAAGGGCAAGGCTGAAGACAATGCCTGTGCTATGATAACAAAGAAGGGTGTTTTTTCTGAGAAATGTCACAGTCATAGCTACCAGATTTGTCAAAATGTGATTTCTTCAGATGATGACCTCTAAATTGATCACAGGTATCTCTTCCATTAAAAAATATTCACAAATACTCTTTATTTATGCATTTTTGTAAAAACACTTTGTATCTACAATAAATATATGGTGATACTGATGATATTGGTGTCGATTTGCGTCACTGTAAATCCAGCTCTCAACTGAGTCCTTAGTTCTACCTGGTCACTCACACCGTATTTCCGTAGTCATCTCCCATCGTGATGGTGGTTATTTCAGACAGAAGTTATTCTTTTACCTCCTCAATAATTCTCTCCCTGCACCTCTCAGTTACCATTAACAGGAGTTTGGGTTTTGCTCATTTCTTTTTTTTTTTTTTTAGAAGGAAAGACATCAGATGATATATTATTGAACTTTCTACAATCGAGTCTACACATTTGTCTGCATATTAATACTTTTCCCTCTTCTCCTGTCTCCAAAAAACGCAGTATCCCTCTTTCTGTCTAAATCGAATCTCCAAGTCTATAGTCAAGATTATATCCTTTTAAGTTTTTCAAAAAAATCCCTTTCTTGGTTATCTCCTCTCTAACCTCTCTCTTATGTTTCCTTTTCTATCAGCAACAAACTATGCAAGAGAAACAAGACAATTTTCCCTCAGCCACATGTGGTTTCTAATTTCTGTCCATTTTTCACCACCTCTTATAAGCCAAACTTCCTAAAAATGTTGATGTTTCCGTTTTCCTCTTTCTACCTTCCACTTCCAGTTCTAAAATTTGGCTTCTGCTTTTCCTACTATTTCACTAAAGTGTTCTCACCATGTCACCAGTGACTTTCTTCTGGCTAAATACAATGAGAACTCTTTAACTTCCATTTTAACTATCAAGTTTGCTCATTGTTGATCTGTGTTTTCGTCTAGAAATAACCTCAGCATCTATGACATAAAACCCTCTTGAACTATCTACTGTTCCAGGCATTCTGCCTCAGTCTTTTCTGCAGTGCCTCTTTCTTCTTCTGATCTCTTAAACACAGCTGTTCCTCAGGATTTTGTGTGGGTCCTGTATCCCACACACACAATTCTTGCCCGAACTCACTCACTCCACAATTTTAATTGCCATCGGTTTATTGATAACTCCCAAACTCTTATTTCTAGCTTAGACCTTATTACAGTGGCTTACCCATGAGGCATCTCTATTTGAACAGCTCAAGGTCCCTCAATCTTCAGATGTTAAAAATGAAACCCGCTAACTTAATGACAGGAACGTGCCCACACCAGTCTAAGCCAGAGTCCTTGAAGTCAACCATGACTTCTTCCATTTTTTTCACCCCTCAATATTCAAACATTAATTTAAGTCCTGTCAATTTTACGACATAAAATTTTCTGAAGTTCATCTACGTATGTTCATACCCACCCTGTCATCCTGGATGACTGCACTAATTTTTTGGTTTGCTTCTGCTTTTGTCTGCCAAAGTCCATTCTTCATATTGTGATACAGTGACCCTCTAAACCTCATGTAAGACCACATTCCTCACTAATTCCTTTTAACGGCTTTTTACTGCTTAAACCCTTTTTCAGCTCCTACCAGACCTGTGGTGTCTTGGGCCCTCTGCATTGCTCCCCCCTTCCCTGTGAGTGATGGAGCAGGCACCCTAAACTGTTCAGTTCCTCAAACGCGTCATGCTCTCTCAGGCCTCTGATCTAGTCACGGATTGTTTGACTCAGCTTAACAAACATTTTTGCCTCTTTTCTTATTCAACTTTTTAACTCTCGTTTATTTTTCAGGCGGCTTTTAAATGTCATTTGGAGGAATATACTTCCTTGACCATTCTTCACGACGACGAAATTCTATGGATTTGGTGTATATTTTCATAGCTCCCTGGACTTATCGAATCTTGTCATCTAGAATCCACTTTTATTCATCATTGTTTAACTAATTGTTTCTTAATGCACTGTAAGCTATGTAAGGTTGATAATCCTTATCATTGTTTGGCACAATGATGTATAATGAATGATAAATAAACACCTTTTATGTTATTGAAGATGTATTTGTAACATGATCTATGAGTTCCTCAGCCCAACTTTTACTAGTTATGCAGATCTTTCTGTAGTGTAGATAAGCACAACCTGTATATAGAGAAAAAAACCACTCTATTTATATATATATATTTTTTTTCTTTTGCTTTTCAGAGAAAGTGGAAGAAGGAGAAGGAGAGGGAGAGGGAGAGAGAGACAGAGACAAAAATAGGGAAGGAGGGAGGGAGCAGAGGGAGAGAAACATGGATGTGGGAGAGACACATTGATTGGTTGCCTCCTGCATGAGACCTGACTGGGGCAAGGATTGTGCCCTTGGCCANGGGAGGGAGCAAAGGGAGAGAAACATGGATGTGGGAGAGACACATTGATTGGTTGCCTCCTGCATGAGACCTGACTGGGGCAAGGATTGTGCCCTTGGCCAGAATTGAACCCAGGACCCTTCAGTCCCCAGGCCAACATTCTAGTCACTGAGCCAAACCGACTAAGGCACCACCACTCCATTTTGTAAAAAAATAAAGGTCAGTGTTAGGTTTATGTGCTCTGATAAATAAAATTTTCCTGATTTGCTGTTTGTTTGTTTGTTTTTTAACCTAGAAACTGCATTGAGACTTGGAGCAGAGANCTGCTGTTTGTTTGTTTTTTAACCTAGAAACTGCATTGAGACTTGGAGCAGAGACATGGCTACATTAATGTTTGTTAATTAAATATAAGTTTACCAATGGGAAACATACTTTAAAGCCTTAGGTCCACTAAGAGTAAAACTTAAATGATACGCCAGAATTTTAAAAAACATATTTATTTCAAATACATTTGTGTGAATAGAAGTAATTATAGTTTATAGGAAATGAAATAGAAGACCTTCAACTCACTTTAAAAAATTAAGCACAAGGAACACAGAACTATATTTATTTAGTATATGTACTATTAAGGTGAACATTTAATAATGTGGGAAGAAAAGTTATAATTGAAGGGGAAAGAAAAATAATGGAAGATTAAGAGAGCTGAGGATCTCTAATATTCAAAGTCAAGTTATCAATGTTGTTTGAAACTATTTTGACAAACACTTAAGCATTTAAATAATTAAATGTTAAAACATTTTATATCAGCCCTAGCCAGTTCAGCCCTAGCTAGTTTGGTTCAGTGGTTAGAGTATCGACTGGAAAACGGAAGTGTCCAGGGTTCAATTCCTGTCAAGGGCATGTATCTCAGTTGCAAGAACAGCCCTAGTCGGGGTGAAAGTGGGAGGCCACCAATCAATGTCTCTCTCACATTGATGTTCCTTTCTCTTTCTCCCTCTTCCTTCCACTCTCTCTGAAAAGCAATGGAAAAAATATCTCAGGTGAGGGGTAAAAAACAATAATAATAATAAAAAAAATAAATAAAACATTTAAAAACAGTTTAAACAATTAGTCTTCCTTCATTTATCTTTATTTTTTATTTTTATTTGATGATTACTAATGAAATATTTTTTTCCATTAAATTCTAAAAATTGAGTTTGCAAGTAAAGAAATGTTTACCTTTCAACTTCTGATATGAGAATTCTAAAAACTACTGTGAATTTAATTAGTCATGACTAAAAGTCCTAATAAAAATCAAACCTTGTCTTTTATTTCCATTATATATCTATATATGTGTATTTTTGAGAGATTAGATTGCCCGAATCATAACAAAGTTACTTTTAGATGACCCTGACCTTCAAATTAGTGTTTTTAATTATATAGTGATCCTAGTTGTTGGGAAGGGAGCATATTAAATAAGGTAAATTAGGAGATTCTTAGTGGAAAAAGCGTCAGGAATAAATGGGACAATTATAATTTATGGCACATCAAAAGTTTTTATCTTTAAACTTTCGACTTCTTTTGGAATGAATGTGGATTTATGTGTTTATGTGCATGTTTGCAACTGGAAAAAATTATGGTTTCACTAGGTAAGGGCTTCAATAAGAATACATCCAACCTCCCACTTAGACTGCATTATAACTGAGTGCTACATCTGCCTCTTTTCCCCAGAAAGGAAAAACAGATTAGATTCCTTTGTTCCTGAAGTCTTTCATGTCATTCCCTGCTCCTGTTGGTCCTGGCCCATTTTTTAACCTTCTTTGAATAATTTTATACTATGTTAACTATTTTTCACCTTATCTGATGCATTACCTCTAATAACAACAATAAAAGATCTAACATTAGGTAGGTTAGAAGTGTGAAAATAGGAAATGAACAAGTTACATCTGCACACTTGCCACTCCCAACACATTTCTCTCTGACATCACGCTAACATGGTAGGGTGCACCTTATCGAATGATGCCCATTACAGACTTGGTTTGTTGATTTCCTGGCAACCAGCTCAGGAGGGTGAACATGTTTGAACAGCCTTGGCTAAGGAGTTTGAACTCTCCAAACTACTTTTCTTCTTTACTCTTTTGTGGGCTCCCTTTCTGCCATTATCATTATTTTACCACTGAATTTCTTTGTTAATTCAATAGTTTGATTATTTCACAAAAGACAAAGACAAACAGCGTTTATTTTAATAGTTAAAATGCACATTGGATGATATGGCAACTCAAGGGTGGTAGGCCTGAGGTGCACGTTGGGTATTGCTTTGGACCAAACCAAAAGCAGAATTCCAAAAAGATAAAAGAATCAATCAATACACCTTTAATAGTAAATTGTTCATAAAAATTAAATTACTATTCTGGGAATATATGTCCATAGATACCATATATCAATTGATTTAACATTCCTATTTCCAAGTAAGCATCTGTTAAATCAAATGAAGTGTCTATATTTATTCTCCCAAAATAATAAGATTATATTCCTGAATACCTTTTTTCTTTATTTATACTCAATTGTTTTGAACACTTTGGCTTTCCTACTAATCACTGTAAAAATTAACATGTTACTTTCATACTTTATTTATACTTAATAGTATAATTTTTATACTTAAACCTAAGTGCATATATATTTTATATTTAAAAGTATAACAAAAATTTTATTCAAGTATAAAAAGACTGGTACAGCCACTATGAAAAACAGTATGGAATTTCCTCAAAAAATTAAAACTGGAACTGTCATTTGACCCAGTGATCCCACTTCTAGGAATATATCCTAAGAAACCCAAAACACCAATTACAAAGACTCTATGAACCTCTATGTTCATAGCAGCACAATTTACAATAGCTAATATCTAGAAACAGCCCAAGCGCCCATCAGGAGATTAGTGGATAAAAAAGCTGTGAGACATTTACACCATGGAATACTATGCAGCTGTAAAAAGAGATCGATCTCTTACTCTTTGTGGCAGCACGGAGGGGCCTGGAGAGTATTATGCTGAGTGAAATAAGCCAGGCAGAGAAAGACAAACATCACATTATCTCACTCATATGTGGAATCTTATGAACAAAATAAACTGAAGAACAAAATAGATCCAGAGACATGGAAGCATAGATGAGACTGATGAATGTCAGAGGGATGGAGGAGGGCGGGTGGGTGGAGGGGGAGAGAGTAACCAAAGAANGGAGGAGGGCGGGTGGGTGGAGGGGGAGAGAGTAACCAAAGAATTTATGTGCATATATGCACAAGCCAAGGACATGGACAATGGTGGGGAGAGGGCCTGGGGAGGGGGAAGGGACAGGGTGGAACGGGTCATTGGGGAGAAAAAGGGACATCTGTAACATTTTAAACAATAATAAAATTTAAATAAATAAATAAATATATTGAGGCATATACTTCTTGAATGCCAAGAATCTAGTAAATAAAAAAATAATTTAGAGATTCAGAGTGAAACAGCAATAAAAATTTCTAAACATGAAGTTCTTTTATGTACTTTTACATTAATATAACATTTCTTTTAAGAGGAATAAAAGCTGTATTTTATGTAAAAGATCTTAGGTCTGTCTTAACTTCTTGTAGTACATGCGTCTGGTTTGCTGCAAATCCATTTTCTAACCAAATGGGTACTGGAACCGCTAATCCCATTTTTGTGTAAATAGGCACATTCTCCAATTCCAATCGCCTTAAGCCTGAAACAAAACACAAAAAAAAGGCTACAGAATGAGCGCATACTTTTTGGAAGAGTTAGAAAAAATAATTTCCTCTGCTGTGTGCTTTTACTCTAACCCCAACACCATATTTGAACATAAAGCAAACTGAATTCATATGCCTGCCTGGCCTAAAATGTAACCTATATGATGAAGTGCAGGATTTATTGTCAAATACATTTTAAATACGTGTTGCAAGATATTCTTATCATTCAATATCGTTGAACATCAATTTTTAAAATCTAAAATGGAGATAAGTATTTTCACCTCCCACAGTTGTTGTGAAGGTCAAAGGATCTGTATGAAGAGTTGTGTTTAGAATATTAAAGGTATTAAATAACTTGTATAATAATTTGTATTACCACATTTTCTCTGGGCTCATTTTATTCCACACCACAAGGAAAGCTTCCAGAATGGTGTGTATGGACTATAACTCATCTCCCCACGGTGGGAAAGGCTGAGTCCCAGCCTTAGGTGTGTAAATTATACACCCAGGTCTTACCAATCACTGTATGTGGTTCCATCTATCCACTTCCAGGTCTGTCCAGGTTTTTGGCTCAGTCCAATCCAATATTGAGAATGGTCAGAATATCTCTTTAGGAAATCCTTTGATAAAGAACATTTACAGGGTAAATAGCAAATGCCTCATTCTCTTGGATTATCTTTCATCTAAATCATTAAACTCTTTATAGAAAGAATCTTAGTGGTGACGTCCTTATCTGGTTCATGGGTTAGTTTACCAATTGTGTTACTTCTGTAACAACTTCTGTAGTAAATTGCATTGGGTAATTTCTCTCTCTTTTCTAAAAGAATTTTATATAAGAGAAAAACTATCTGTTCTGTGAAGACTTGGTCAAATTTGCCAATAAGTCATTCTAGGCTTGGTGCCTTTTATAATGGGAGAATTTTGGTTAGCTGTAAAATGTACTGAATAGTTATTGGTTTATTCAGGTTTTATATATGTTCATAACTTATCTGATACATTGTATTTTCTGACATTACTAACACTAACCTAACTTTTTTGTTTTATTTGGTTGATAGTTGCTTGGCATATCTTTTTCTTTCACTTTGTCTCTAAATTTAGTGTGTGTGTGTGTGTGTGTGTGTGTGCGCGTGCGCGCGCGCACACACAGGTGCACATATGTGTCTACATGCTTAGCTATGTCCGTGTAAGTAGCACTAAATGGACTTCGATAGAGTTTTTGAAACCAATCTGATATATTTATCTTTTAAGAGATAAATTCAAAACATTTACGTTTTATCACAATTGCTGTTATATTTAAATTCATCCATTTTGTGTTCCCTATTTTTTCTTCTCTTTACCTTTTATTAATTCTTTTGAATTGATGCTTTTTCTTTTTTATTTAATTACAGAATGAGGTATTTATTTCTAATTTTTCTGCAGTAATACTAGGGAAAAAATTTTATTCGGATCGATACTGTTTCTATGTCTTTTTTTGAACAGTTTAGTTTACTAGAACATTTTTTGACTTTTGCATGATTACCATTTAATTTTTAAGAAATATATTGGTGTATACATACTCCAGTTTTAGGTTGTCTAAACAATTGCTTGAATAATTGTTTAGATATTTTTTATTTCTTCGAAGTTTTAAAATTTATTAGCATAAAATTATTTGTGATATTTTATGCTTTTAAAATCTCTGCTGTTTGCATTAGGGTGGGTATATCTTTTGTCCTTTCCTGTGATCAGTCCTGTCTATGCAGAGGAATAGTTTTGCCCTCGCACATCCTCGCTGATCATTTTGTTGTGCTCTCTTGTTCTATATTTTCCCTAATGCTTTTTAGTTAGTTATTTTCTTTGTTCTGTTTTTATACCGATTTTATACTTTCCCATTTTTCTCGCTTCACTTTCATGATTTATATTCTAATGAATGAAATTCATAATTTCATTTATATTTTTCATCCACCCTAATATACTCATTTTAAAATCTTTATCAGAATGTTCTTCAAAATTGATTTCACCTTGGGTCAATCCCTCTTCTGTCTTTTCTTCATAGAGTAAGTGTTCAATAACTGTTAAATATATCCTCATGCTCCTTAAGATCTTAACTTTTCCGTCTCTTACCACCTGACATTCTATTATTTCTGGTTTGGGGGTAGTTTGTACTGCATGCTTTTAAGTTCTTCATTTACCCAGTCTGTGCCCTAAAGTTCCCAGATATTTTTAATTATGCTACTCATTTTATAATTCTTTCCAGTATTTTTGACAAATGGTTTGTTATGACTTTTTACTTACTGTTTTTAAAATATAGTTCCACAAATGGCAACTATCATTTGGTATAAAATAGATAGGTGAACAAAACAGGTAGGTGAACAAAACAGGTAGGAGACTGATGTGAGCTGCTTGCTGTGGTCCAAGCTGATGTGGAAAATAGGGCCTCCTCTAGGCTGGGCACGAAGGCCTTTTCTGGACCATGCCCCCTTCCAGCGTGCGCTCTTCACACCAGCTATAACCTCGGAAAGACAACTGCAGTTCGAAAGTGCCGCCTTACCAGCTGCTTCACGGTGCTGACCACAGCAAGAGTTGCCTCATAGGAAGCGCAGAAGTCCTGGCTTGCTGCCCAGGTTGTCGTATTTTCAGAAAAATAGAAGCACTTTCCTAAATAACCAATCCAGCCATCCAGGCATGATTTGTGTTCAGTGGGAGATTTGTGTTTTCCTACTAAAAGAAATGATTTAATAACATATTAAGGAGTGAAGGGGTGAAAAACCCTGAATTTAAAACAATTATCCGTGTGAGTGAAATCCCCCCGAACTGCTGTGGTTCTTCAGTCTGAAGGCCTTCACCCATCACGCTTTCCACTGTTCCCTACGTGAGAACAGCCGCCAAGCTTTTCTATTTGTCTTCTTACCAGGTTGAAAGAAATTCTTGATGACTGCTACTCACATAGTAGCTATTGCTCACATTCAAGACTTGGTTCTCTTATCAAGTGATACATACTCCTAGGTGATCACACTCATTCTCATAACATTATATAGATTTATATAAATATATATGTATACACACACACACATATATACGTGTGTGTACATATGCACACAGTATATGTACATATATACATTTATATACTTGTGTACATATATAATTATGTATATACATATATTTCCATATATTTTAAAGCCTAGTTCATAGAATTAGGTTGATTAATAATTTATATTCTGTATAAACTTATTTAGATAAGCATATGTGCACATACATGTATACTGTATATAGAATATATCTTTCAATGTATTACTTTCTACATGTATATATTAAGTGCATATTCATAATGCATATATTCACATATAAATCATATACACACTTATATGTGCACATCTATATCATATATAGTTATGTATATATTTTCAAACATTAAAATCATTTTGAAGTATTTATAGAACATATGTCCATAGTTCACTATCATAAAGGGCAGATGTAGCTTGCTGCTTTGAGAGTCTAAAACGAATCTATATTTTGTGTAAAAAATGTGGTTAGTAGGATAACAACAATTTCTTTCTTGCTCAATTCTTTATCACCCATATGTTTAGCTGTGAATTATGAATAGGATTTGAAAATCTGGCCCCATTATTTTAAGCTGCATAAGCAGAGAGAAAGATTATGTTTTGCATCTTTAACTCATTTTTTGTCCTTATAACATAGACCTCAACTAGGAACAGCTTAGGGAAAAAAATACTACCATTTACATAAAAACATATGGTTCAGGGCAAGGTAGTCCACAACCAGATAATCTTCCACAAACTGTTTGCTATCAGTCCACAGTGAGGTAAGGACCGTGTGACACCTCGTTAACTAAGTCACCAAATACACTGTTTAGTCCTTTTGATATTTCTTCAAAATGATACTTTCTTGATGAAGGAAGCAGTGTGGCAATTTACATTTTACCACAAGCTCCTTACCTTGTAAAGACTAAATAATATTGGTTTTGAAGGAAATTTCATATACATTGTTATTTTTATCCTCACAATATTTAATATAACTATTATCCTCATGTTTTAGAAGAGGGAATATATGCTTATTCTGTGTAAACAATGATGTCTGAAATGACCCTTAATCCAGAGCTAAAGAATGAAAGGCACACATATGATGAAATATTTTATAAGAGAGTTAACATCAGCACATTCGGAAAATGGAAAACTCACCTGCTAAAGTTGTGGTCAGTGTAATTGTTAGAATCACCAGAAAGAAGGTGATGATGGTGATGATTTTAGGGGTACAAAGTCGCTTTGCATTCCATCTTAGGTGTTCTTGTGACTGTACAGTAAGATTGGAAGAGGTATCATAGCCTATAGAAAAATAATCAGTTCTTCATTACTAATAAGTGAATTTAGAATATTGTAGGATTCAAGACCAATGTGTACAAACTAATCATATTTCTCTATATTATCAATTATCAATAGGAAATTTAAATATAACAGAACCATTTACAGTGGCATAAAAATATTAAATACTCATAGATAAATCTGATAAAAGACACGCAAACTTTGCACACTGAAGATTATAAAACAATACTGCAAAGAATTGCAGACATAAATGGAGAGAGATAGTTTTCGTAAGTCAGAAAACACAATATTGTTAAGATGCCAATTCTACTCAAATTAATTAATCTATAGGTTCATCACAATCCCAAACACCATTCTGAACATGCTATTTGTTTTTGTAAAAATTGACAAACTGTTTATAAAATTTATATGAAAATGCAAAGGAACTAGAATGGCCAGGACTGAGAGCTAAGTTAGAGGACAAACATTAGCTGGTTTCAAGACTTATTACAAAGCTGCAGTTGTCCATACAGCATGGTATTTGTGTAAAAATAAACAAGGATATAGACCCACACAATATTTTTGGCAAAGACACAAAAAAGATAGTCATTTTGATAAATGGTTCCAGAATAATTGGATATCCACCTGCAAAAAGATTTTGATCCATGTCATATCCCATATTCAACAATTAATTCCAAATGGAACACAGAGTGAATGAATGTACTGCTTAAAACTATAAAACAAAGATTTCTTCAGTCTAATACAAAAAAGCATAATCCATAAAAAGTAATAATTGGACTTCCTAAAAACTAATAACATCTGCTTTCCAAAAGATAGTGTTAACAAAATGAAAAGACAAACCAGAGACTGGGAGAAAATATTTGTAAAGCAAATGTCTGATAAAGGACTTGTGTCCAGAATATATAAAGAACTGTCAATTCTTAATAATAAAACAAACAAGACAATAAAAAAATCTGAGCAAAAGAGTTCAACAGACACTTCATGAAATAAGACATACAGATGGCAAATTGAACTTAAAAAGATATTCATCATCATTAGTCATAAAAAAAGTGAATTAAAACCAAATTTTGAAAGCACTACAAATCTATTAGAATGACTAAAATTATAATGTCTGACCACATTGAGTGTTGGATAAAATATGAAAGAACTGAAAATCCCATCCATTGTTGGTAGAAATGTAAAATGGTATGAACATTTTGGGAAGCAGTGTAGAAGTGTCTTAAAACAACTAAATATACCCCTACTGGGCGATTCATCCATTCTACTCAGAGGTGTTTCCTCAAGAAAAACAAAAACCTATGTCATACAAAGGCTGGTACACAAGTTTTTACAACAGCTTTATTTGTAATAACCTCAAACTGAAACAACGCAAATGTTCATTAATGGGTGAATTCGGAAATAGGCTATGGTACATCTATACGAGGGAATACTAGTCAGAAAAATAAAAATAAAAAAAGAAATGTACTATTGATATCTACAAAACATGGATCAATATTAAAATAACTATGCTGAGTAGTAGAAACTGAACAAAAATGGGTACATATTGTATGATTCCATCTATGTAAAATTTCAGAAAACGCAAATCTATGAACCAGTGACACAAAGTTGACTTGCTAAAGGGGCAATAAAAAAAAGATTACAATGATGTATGAGGAAACTTTCGGTGTTGATGTTTATTATCTTGAATCTATTTGTGGCTTCATGGATGTGTCATATGTGTCAAAATTTATAAATTGTACACTTTAAATATGTGCATTTTAATGTATGTCAGTTTTATCTAAATAAAGCTGTTAAAATAGCACAAAGATCAGTTATCTTTTATTCACACAGTGTGGACAGTTTATAAGATACCTTGGATAGATAGCTGAAAATAATTTGACACAGATAGAAGAGATGGAGAGCACAGGGACAGTAATTCTCCAGGACAGTGAGGATTCAGCGTGGACGGCAGGGACTGACCAAATGTAAACCTGCTTACATCACAAAGCACATCTAGAGCCTGTGCTACGCGAGCTTCTTACCTGAAGACTGGGAATCTCCTGCACTTGTCAGGTTTATGCTGCCAGTCATGTCTCCTTTCGAGTAAAAAAATAACAGATTGGTCACAGGGAACAGCCTGGATTCAAGGTTCCTGCTCACTCCCTGGGTTTAGCTTCAATAATACAAAGGAAGACAATTTGAAATAAAATATAATGTTAAGACAACCTAAAATGAAAATACAATATCAATATAAGAAAATGTGTCAAAATTTCCTCAGAAATCTGACCATTCATGTAACTCCTTCCCTTTCGGCACTTTGCCATTCTAAAGTCATTCTATCTCTGAATGTCAGAGGGAAGAAGGGGGACAGGTGGGTGGAGGGGGAGAGATTAACCAAAGAATTTATATGCGTATATGCACAACCCAAGGACACGGACAATGGTGTGGGGAGGGACTGAGGAGGGGATTGGGAGGGTGGCGGAATGGGTCAATGGGGAGAAAAAGGGACATCTGTAATATTTTGAACAAAAATAAAAAAAATTTAAAAAGTAAATCGTTCTATCTCACAGCAGTTTGAGAAGTCACTGGAGGTAGTTTAGAGTCTGAAATAATTCTTCTGACTGTTGGATTTAGTGCAAAGAAAGTGACATTCAGTGGTTTATGAAGCCACCAGTTTGAGTCTTCACAGTGTCACCATGACCTACCAAAATATTTAATTAATTTTGACCACTATGGATCCCAGACACAGATTCAATTCTAAAAAATCTGAGCATGAAATGGCAACATAGACTTCAGTGAAAGGAATATGAATTTGTTTTAATAATAGTAATAGGAAAAATAATATCTATTATTTATTGTGTTTTTACTCTATGGTAGGCCTATTCCTGAGCTCTTAATTTTTATTATTTAATTTAAATTCACAATATTATTAAATAGGAGCTTAATATTATCATTAATTTACAGATGAGGCAGCTTCCTTAAAGTAACAGAAATGTTAAAAACTTTCTTAAAGTAACACAGCTGATATGTGGCAGAGCTTAGATGCTAACAGAATCTGTTCATTCAACACTCTGTTATCCTCTACAGCTTCTCTCTACTCAGGACATTGCCATGAGTGTCCTTATGTGGTGAACTTCCACTTCCAGATGTGGAAAGCAGACCTCAAGTTAAACAACAACAAAAATGTGCTATTTGCATTATGCTAAGATGATTATAATTATTTAATATCATTTGATGGAGGTAGGGATGAAATGCAGGCATGGCAGCCTATATTTCAAAGTCACTGCCTTGGGAGACAAACAGAAACTAATGGATTGGCATGTTTTTAAAAGCCGAGCTATAAGGCTTAACATTCTAAGTTTGTATTTTGAGGTTTTTAATGTATGAATATTATTTCACATGTCCAAAACAATTATTTCAAGAGCCAAGCAGATTGTGTGTGTGTGTGTCTGTGTGTCTATGTGTGTATGTGAGAGAGGGAGAGAGACAAAGAGACGGGGGAAAGGAGGGAGGGAGGCTGGGGAAACTTATGGATAGATTATTTTCTTTAAGCCTTTATCTCTAGTACAAATTATTCCAAACATTTATATGTTATTTTAAAATCACAAACTTTGCTACCAGTTAGCCATGGCCACATTAACACTAATTACAAACCATACCTAAACCCTGGCTCACTCACTGGTCTGCGCTGCGTTGGCTGAGGGTCGTCTGATCGAGGCTGGTAACATGTGGCTGTCTCAGGCTGCGAGTCTGGCTGTGCTTCTTCCTCTGAGATCTGGGTTGAAGAGGCAGCTTTTCCAGAGCTCTTTTCATAGAGATATCAAAAGTGTAGGACAGTAAGCCCAGCCACTCAGCATATTTCAAGTCACTGCCAACATCCCATTGGCTGAAGCTCAGCCCTGGCCAACTCAGTCAGGGGAAGTACATGCACTTCACTTCCAGTAAGAACAAACAATGCCACAATTTTCAGAGTGCGCCCCACAAGCACTTCTCCTGTTTCTCCTGTGTGTTATCACTCTTCTTTTCCCTTCACTTCTGGTTCTTTTCTATGCCCACTTCATGCTAGCCCTGTCATGTTTTTCAAAAGAAAATGCTACAGAGTAGAACGACCTACCTTTGGAGGAATAAAGTTACATTACAATATGAAGTTAATACATGGAAGTAATCAGAGCCATGATCTTAGAGGTGAAAGACCCTGTTTCAACGACTGTATTTTATAAATGAGGAAAATAAATTAACCTTAAATGAGTTAATTATTCAGTGTTACTCAGTTGACTCAGTACAGGGTTCTGATCCTTCATTTGCTGATTTATTTTCTCTCCATCTATGTCTAACTTTGCATATAAATTTGATTGAGATTTAAAAGGCTCTTCTCAATTCATAAGACATTCAAATCAGAAACTGGGGACTCATATCATAATCAACTTGTTTGAATTTTTACCCCCAAATAAGATTGGTCACAATTATACATAAATATCTCTTCAGTTTGTATCTTTTTATCCCATCGCAATTTTACTTAATATTGTAATTCCTTATTACCTCTTAACCAGACATTTATGCTAGTTTCTTAGCAATTACTTTACCTCCAGTCCAGTCTCTACCTTCTCTTTCAATTCAACTTTCACATTATTGTCAGGATTGTTTCTAGAATACAAATCTATTTATAAGCTTCATTGCTTAATTTTTAAAAAATTCTGTTATCTCCAAATCAAAATTAAACTCCTTAGAATAAGCCTTGGCAATTCAAGTATCAAATTATATTATCCTGTTTATCTCTCTTCCTCTTTTCCATATTGAACTTTGCATTATTTTTCAAATATTCACATTCTTCCACTTTTCCATGCCTTAGTACCTGCTGTTACCTCTACTTGATGTACCCACCCCTCCCCTTGTCTACCCAGCTCAAGAGTTGCCTCCATTGAAAACAAATTTACAATCAAGCAAACAAGCAACTGTCTGTCTTAAATCTTCTGGCAGAGTTAGTCACATTTCCTACTAATCTCATACTACCAATGTAGGCTCTGTACTATAGAACTTACCATTTTAAATTATACTTACTTCTCTATATCTGTCTTCATAAGTTCCAAGATGGAAGGAAATCTATGTATTCATCTTTATATTGCCACATAGTGATTGATACAAAATAAAGTGCTAAACCCAGCATCTGATGAATTAATAAGTTAATGTTCTTGGTCCTTTTTATACATTGTTTGGTTCAGCCAAGTTGAACTCATCTACACTTTCTAAAAACAAATCTCTTTTAATTACAAAATGCCAATTTTTTCCTCTCTGTCCTGTTGGTCTCTGGTTTTATTTCCTGGCCACTTCTCCTAAACTCAGGCTAAATTATTAACGTTATTTTCCCAGCAGCCAAAAAAGCATGACTCTCCTTAAAAACAATTTTTATGACACTAACACTATTTTTTTTTTTTCTGTACTTGCCCTTAGTTTCTCACTCGGGTCTTCCATTAATCTATTGCTTGCTGATATCTCCCAAATTGTATCTCTTTTGGAACAGCTAGAAAATTATACCTTATTAAATAAGGTATAATTTAATAAGGTCAGAAACATCAATGTGAGAGAGAAACATCAATTGGCCTCCTCCCCAACTGAGGATTGAACCCACAACTTAAACATGTGCCTCAACTGGGAATTGAAGCTGCCACCCTTTGGTGTGAGGACGATACTCCAACCAACTCAACCACACCAGCCATTGCCATCTTGATAGGAATTGCATTGAATCTACAGGTTGCTTTGGGAAGTATGGTCATTTTAATTATGTCAGTCCTTCCTATCCATGAACATGGTATATGCTTCCACTTATTTGTATCTTTAATTTCTTTCTTCAGACAAGTATAGGTCTCTTACATTCTTGGTTAAATCTATTCCTAGGTTTTTGGTTTTTATAAACAACTGTGGATGAGATTGTTTTCTTAGTTTCCTTTCCTGATAGCTGATTATTAGTGTAAAAAAATGCAACTGATTTCTGGATATTTATTGTGTATCCTGCTACTTTACTGAATTCATTTATCAGTTCCAATAGTTTCCTTATAGAATCTTTAGGGTCCACTATATACAGTATCATTTCATATGCAAATTCTGATAGTTTTTCTTTCTCAGAAGCTGTTTCACTCAATATCTTAGTGCCCCACTCCCTAAATCAGGCACTAATATATATCTTGGAGGAACAAGATAGAGCTGTTTCCTTAAAATGTGTTCCTTATTTAGTGTTGTAGTTGCCTTTGCTACCCTTATTTCTATTTTTCCTGAAGGGAGAAGGTGCTTCTGCCACCTGTTCATGGATCACAATTTCTCACCTTCTCTGAAATAACAACTCTTCTAATCTAGACCTAGGGAAAGACCAGAACCCTTTCCTTTTGGAATAATTATGCCTATATCTTTTTTTAATTAACAGAAAAGTGAATGTCCTAGCTCTGGTGTAATTTATGTAGAAGGGAATGGTAAATAATATTAAAAATGGTTCAGAAGGTGATAGGCCTTGAATAAGACAGTTATTTCCACAAAGCACTCCTTTTCACTTCCTCTTTTCCAAAAGAAAAACATGGGTTTGAGGCTGAGAGTGTGGTATTTAACCCAAAACCTAAAAAATATTTGTCAGAGTTTTGGAATATATTTAGGATGAATGCCTCATGTTTGGAAATTATTTTTTTCCCAAATCTTTTAGCTAGTTTTTTTCTCTCTTTCTCAGTGGACATAGATTAAATTGTAATTTTTTGCTGTACAGAAATTTTCTGTACACAGTAGTTAAATCCATTTCTTAAGTTACTCTTGGGACTAAGTATCTTTTTTTCTCTCTTATTTTTCTCACAGGCACATGCTATCTAGTAATAGCTTTCAGTGTGTAAATTTTTCTTTTGGAAAAATCTCTCCCAAACCTAATATGGACCCATTGGGACTTAATGTGTGGTGCTTCCTTCCTGCCACATTTGACCAATTAGAGTTTTCCATCTTCCATAACACAAAAATTATTTCAGGAATAGATGGTGCCCTATAATACCATCTTAAATGTCTTACTTGATATTTAACATAATATCTCTCTCCCTCTGGGATTAGGAGATATAAAGAATCTC